GCCAAAAGACAAAAAGGCAAGCTTGGAAAACTGGCACAGCCAAAATATGAGCAACAACAAAAACAACAATAACATATACACATAACTAAAAGCACAGGGTGCAGCAGCAGTTTCCAATTGGAAGTGCAGTTTGATTTCTAAGGGTTGGGCTGTTGGCGTGATTATGTCAGCAGCAATACGTGTGTGTGTGTCTGTGTGTGTGTGAGTGTGATTTTGAGTGCGCCACCTTCACCCACCACCATTGAGAACAGATGACTGCAAAGCAAAGCAGCGGTTCGTCAGTTGCTTTCCAAGCGCCGACGCCGCCGCACTTGCTCTACGAGCGCTCGGTCGTCATTCGTGCGTCGCATTTCAAACTGAAAACTTTGGTAACGGTAAAAACGTTGTCGTTACTTCGCGTTGCGTCGCCGTCGTCGTCGTCGTCGTCGTCGCCGTTGTCGTCGCCGTCGGCCAATGGCCATGCGCCAGTGCAAAAACACATAATGCCAAAAATGTGACCATTGTGAATGCTGTTGAATGTTAAACGGTGAACGTGTAGGCAATTCCTTAAGCAAAAGCGGCCACTCCGAGAGGGTCCCCCATTTATGTTCACACGTACACACACATGTGTATATGTAAGCCTGATCTTAGCCAGCACCTAGCCCATCCCACATCGCGCAGGCATGGAACTTTTGAAGCTAATGATGTTCAAAAGTGACTTTCTGTCCAATGGAAAATGTGACGATCGCGTACCGCCCATTAATCTAAGTCAATTGCCAGATTTTCTGTTGTGTAAGTTTCCGAAAAGCTAATCTCGTAAAATTCCTTAACAGTCAATATATAACATTTCCTTAGGAGAAAATAAAAATATCCCAGTTCCAGATTAGAGTATCGAGAATAAGATATCTTCTGTTTTCATACCTACAGAACCTCATAGAAATTGACTAATACATCGGAAGCCCCGTTATAGTAAAGTTGTCTAAGGACCGTACAGTTAAAAGTAGCTTACAAAGAGATTTTTCTTCCTTTAGAGATGTTACGATTTGAACAACAGATAATTCCAATTATATAGATAAAGATATGGAAATTTAATTCGGAGAGTTTAGAAGCCAGACAGTTACGACCATAGATTTATAAATATAAATAAAAGCCTCAGATACAAAACAGGTTAAAAACAAAATTAATAAGTTATTGAATATAATCCAAATGTAAAATAAATAATATTGGAGAGATTTCAGAGAGATTTTGGAGACATTTCTGTAAAAAAGAATCACCTTGCACAAAATCAGATATGTTTAATTTTGAGCAAAAGACAAAATAGAATTTTGGTGACGTTATTGTTTTTATACGATTTCCCAGATTTCTTGGGCTTTAATTAAAATCTCAAGAATCGACATCGAGGATAAATATACATAATACAGATGACACCTTTATACAGGTCAACAATCCATTAAAAGAAAAAAAAAAAATAAATTAAATTCAAGTTTATAATTTCCGTAGACGAAACTCAAGAAAAGAAACATTTGAGAATGGTTCTTAGAGATTGCGGGGAGGAGGAACACGCCAGGCAAATAGACTTTTGTAAATTTCAAAACAGGCCTGAATATCCCATTTACATTTTTCATAATGACAGTTTTTAAATAGACGACAAACCAGATTCAAATTACAAACAAATAGCTCAATTAAAATTCATTTTGAATTGATTTACGAGAAAACGAGCCGAGAAATTAATAGAGAAAAAATCGAAGAAAAAAATGCAAATGGGTAAATCGCAATGGAGCAGAGTAGTCGCTAGCACGAGCAGAGTTGCCACCACAATTAGAATTCGATTGCGAGCAGTTTTAGCGAAAATGTAATGGTAATTAATAATATATGAACTGTTCATGTTTGACCCACAGCGACGATACCAAAGTGTGGCGGCTGCCACGAGCTGATCCTGGATCGCTTCATATTGAAGGTGCTGGAACGGACATGGCACGCCAAGTGCCTGCAGTGCAGCGAGTGCCACGCCCAGCTGAACGACAAGTGTTTCGCCCGGAACGGGCAGCTCTTCTGCAAGGAGGACTTCTTCAAGTAAGTAAATTTCTCTAACGGCTGACACCCAGGCCGATCCTGAGTGCCGAGTCGCACATTTGCTGTTGCCGGCTTAATAAAAATCTCCCGCTGCCCGTTGCCAATGTTCGGGTCGAACAGACGTTATGGTACGAAGTGTTCCGCTTGTGATATGGGCATACCGCCAACGCAGGTGGTGCGTCGCGCCCAGGACAATGTCTATCATCTGCAGTGCTTCCTGTGCGCCATGTGCTCGCGCACCCTCAACACGGGCGATGAGTTCTATCTGATGGAGGATCGCAAGCTCATCTGCAAGCGCGACTACGAGGAGGCCAAGGCGAAGGGTATGTCTGCCGACTCCGGCACAATATAAACGGCAGGCACCTCATTCGCCGCTGCCCATTGCAGGTCTCTACTTGGATGGCTCGCTGGACGGAGATCAGCCCAATAAACGGCCCCGGACCACAATTACGGCCAAGCAGCTGGAGACACTGAAAACCGCATACAATAACAGCCCGAAACCCGCCCGACATGTACGCGAACAACTGTCGCAGGACACGGGCCTGGATATGCGGGTGGTGCAAGTGTGGTTCCAGAACAGGTGAGCCAGCCAACCGGCCAACTGATTGACTAATGAAAGATAAACTGACGCCCAACTATGCTTTAGACGCGCCAAGGAGAAGCGACTGAAAAAGGATGCAGGCCGCACGCGCTGGAGCCAGTACTTCCGCTCCATGAAGGGTAACTGCTCGCCCCGCACTGACAAATTCCTCGACAAGGATGAGCTGAAGGTGGACTACGACAGTTTCAGTCATCACGGTAGGTCCCCCCCGCAGTCCAGTCAACTCCTCCAAAAAACTCCTCCTGCTCACGTTCATTCTCGTGTCCAGATCTTAGCAACGACAGCTACAGCACCGTCAATTTGGGCCTGGACGAGGGCGCCTCGCCGCATAGCATACGCGGCTCCTACATGCATGGAAGCTCCAGTCCGTCGCAGTATCCGCCGAGCAGTCGCTCGCCGCCTGCTCCGGGCCAGAGCCATACGTTCGGCTCCTATCCGGACAACATTGTGTACACAAATATAGGTAGGGATTCGCTTGAGCTGCAATAAGCGTCAGATAATACGGATTTGTGCCCGTTTTGCCCATTTTTAGATCATGCTGTTGGCTCCAATTTACTGGCCAGTAAATCGCATCATCGCCTGCACAGTAGCAACAATGTTTCGGATCTGAGCAACGATTCTAGTCCCGATCAGGGATACCCTGACTTTCCGCCTAGTCCCGACTCCTGGCTCGGCGACTCCGGCAGCACCAACAATACCAGCAACAACAACAACAACAACAGCGCGAATAGCAACAACAACAACAACAATAACCACAGCAGCGGAGGCGGCAGTGGGGCGGCATCGAATGCAAATGCTACCACCAATCCAAATCCAAATCCCAATCCCAATCCAGCAACTCCCGGCGTACATTACTGATACTCAAAAATACTTTTGCGTTATTTTGAGATGCAGTCGCGCAATTTGCTGCTCGCAGCTGCCAACCATCAACAGAAGCAGCGGCAGCAGCGACAGCACTAGCGACGCCATTTTGAAAGCTTTCAAGCGTCTTAACAGCGCTGAACCAATGAAATAACAGAAAAGCTTAACAGTTAACAGCGCCGCTGGCGTCGAGAGCTTTCTTCGACTGCATTTCGGTACATGCACCAATTTTTATTACGTTTACTAATGTAACACAATTTGCTCAAGTTTCAGTAATTTTTTTATATTTGATTTATACTCGATAGAATGATTAAAAAATGAGTAACTTGACATGTACATAATGAGTACACACATACAAACAAACATACACACGCGCACACATCACACGCACACACACACACACGGACACACACGCACACACATTCAAAGATATGTATGTGCCCATGCTTTAAAACAAACTGGCTTAAATAATAATGTTTAATGATTTTTTACTACATCAATTCCTGAACCACTTTTGTTTGTAGTTTTAACCTTGATATTTTAGTGTAATGTAAATATTGTATATTTGTGTATAGTAAAAAGAAAGAACTACATTTTAAATTAAATTAAGTCTGTATAGGAACATACAAACGTGGGGGACAGTGCACAACAATTTATTATGCTGAAAAACCCCCCAAAAAAAGAAGTTATTTATTGCTTTATATAGGAATACATGAATTGCATAGGAGAAATATCAATTACGAAAACGTGATGTCGTATATACATACATATATCTAAAGTAATACCAAAAAAAAAAAAAATAAAGATTTCAAGCAAATAGAAATTTCAGCAAAATGCAAACTACGTAAAACAAATGATAACGAATTTTTAAATTTATTGTGTATTACAATAAGTTTAATTAATTCAAATAAATGCGATACAATTAATTACTATTTGACATGTAAGAATAAATGATACAATTGTTAAAAATCACGACTTTCGCACTCTCTTCAGATTACAATTATCAGTTTTAATTATGATTAATTACATTTCTTGTTCGTATGAATTTTAAGTTTCCCTTAATCTAGATCTGAAAATACTTAAGTTAATAATAATGATCGGCGTGGGAAGCACGAGGAATGGCTACGTCAAAGATGGGATAATATTGGATAGCATCCCTTTCATGGACAAACGAAACAGTTATTCGAAAGACAGTTATTCCCAGAACCCAAAAGCTGAAGCAGTTGATCAGTTGCAAAAACGTGAAAAAAGCTCTTTAAAAAAGTGTAGTATGTTTTTTTGGTTTCGTGGAGAGTCGTGCCGGGCTTTACACGAGCAGGGCTTACGCTCATTTAGTAATAAAGAGACAGAGCTGAAGGCTTGCTCCGAGCTTTTTTTACCGTTTTGAAAATCATGAGAGGTAGGTCGGGATGGTCCGCAAACGCAAAATCCAACTCAAAAATAAAGCTCATTTACTATAGGAAGCTCTCTCTCTTTATTACTCAATGGCTTACGCTCAAGATGCTACAATATTATTAAAAATATATGAGAATGTATGTGGGAAAATCTGAAATATTAGATATTTACAAATGTGTATTAAACATGTACCTTAGCAACAAGTACTTATTGCTTAACCGCAGGAATGTCCAACACGAATATGCATGATCATGAGAGTTGGATTTAATCTCAACACTTACTAGACAAATACACGTAAGTCCTTTAATAAAGTATTATTAAAAGTTATATGAAATGTTAGCAAATCATTAAAATATTGACCAAAAGAAGCGCCTTACAAAGTCAGCTTGTCTATTAACAAATATCCATTTGTATTTCAAAGTCTTTAGATTTGCCGAAAGAAATTGAGTAGTAATTAGTCTATTACTCAAAAGCCGAGAGAGTTGAGTTGAGTCGAATGGAATCAGAGTTCTTTGCATTTCTCTCAATGCAACGCTCTCCCAATCTCTCTATCGTACGCTCCTTCTACTATTTCATTCATACTGAGCGCGCTGAGCGCTGTTGGTACATCTGTTCGCTCGGATGTTCTAGCCTGTTGTCTCCTATTTGCTTAGTCTCTTTTCCAACGTTCGCGCAACGACATCGAGTGCTGAGGGAGCTTTTGATGCGCAAGGCGCCTAGATTTACTAATTAGTTGCTTACAATTATATAAAATGATTAAATAATGTTTTATCAAGTTAAATTTGCAGTAATTGAAAGGCCCCTCATTTCTACGGTGCGTGCAAGAGTTCAATTTCTATAAAAAGCTGCCAGGCAATCTTTCCAATTCAATTTTTGTTTTTGTTGTCCGTGTGTGCGTGTGCGTGTGCGTGTATGTGACAGAAAATGTGCTGCCAAATCGAAATCGAAATACAAATGTCGTAAAATGTTCTATTTTTATTTTGCAGTAAAATACACCAAGCGCAGCTACAGCAATCTATTGTTGTTGTCGTTGTTCTGCTGTGTGTGAGATGCAAATGTGTAATATGTTTTTGTTTCTGTTGCGACGCCAAATTGCATTTGCGGCCGATACGCCGCTCGATCCTTAAATTGACGCATCGGATACATCAGCCACAGTTAACAGTCCAAAGAACTTTCTCACTGATTTTTTTCAAGTCTTAACAAAGCGACCAACTCCCAATAAAAACGCGTCCGCTCCGTGCGTTTTCCAATAATGCAAATTCAATGTATGCCAATATTGAAAGTAATTTTCGTGCTCTCAACAATTGTCGCAGTCACAGGTAACACGCACTCGAATAATTATAGCACGGCATCAGAGTTGCCAGATCAGCATGCGAATGCAGCTGTTTACTGTTGTTTTTGTCTCATTCCTCTCTTCTTTTCTTGGCACTCTTTGTGGTCGGTCCTTCGCCAGATTGTTGCGCGAGCCGGATTTTACTGTTGCGCCAGCAAACGCTGCAGATTGAGGAGCATGTAGTCCAGCTGGTCAGCCAAATGGAGCTACAGCAGCAACTCAATCTCGATGGACAGCTCTCTGAACCGGATACATTGGGCGACACGGCACAAATGCCGCAAGAGTCGCGGAGTCTGGACATCAACGGCGAATTGGCATCAATTGCGACAACGGAGCACGACACGAGCACAGAGCCCTGGTCCAATGAAGTAGAAACGACGACTACGACAAAGTCAACCGCAACAGGAACAAGAACAACACAAACAATTGCAACATCGACAATTAAAACGGCAACTGGGGAACCGCCGCCCAATGACAGCACAGTGCAACTGGCAACAGACGCCGCCATTTCTGAACTAAATGAAGCTCTAAAAACAACGACGACGACCTCGACGACGACGACGTCGACGTCGATGACAACAACAAGCACTAGCAACCGAACGTTATCGAAAGAGTATAACTTTAGGTATCCCTGCAGCGAAGAATATTTCAAGTATTTCTGCCTGAATGGCGGGTACTGCTTTCGCACGGAAGATGCCAACGGATTTAGTTACTGCGAATGCGCCAATGGCTACGGGGGCGAACGGTGCGATTCAAAGACTGAAACCGGTAAGCAGTGTCCGGCTATATCTATTATATATATATATATATTATATATATGTGTGTGTGTATTTTTGATTGCCTTTGCAGGAGTTTATGTACCGTTTCGGCCCAGGACGCCGGCGCCACTGCTAAAGACGGCGCACGTTGTCTTCTCCTTCCCCATGCTTGTTCTGCTCTCGACTATCTACGTTCTGTTCGGCGCCGTGTTTATGCTGCGCAATGTCTCTGCGCACCGGCGCAAGCAACAACAGTTGCACTTGCACAAGCAGCGCTTTTTTGTTAGCTGTTAATTAACATAGATCGGGATCGGGGCTGCCAGATTGCTTTTCCCCTCTATCTTTCATTTTTGATTTTGGTTGAGATAACCAATTAACGCTATTTTCTTTTTGATTTGGAAACGTATTTTTGTTTCATGATTTGTTATAAATGCCAATTTAAGCATTTTTTTCTAAGATTCTTTCTTTCTTTACGTTGCGCAACGCTTTAATTTATTTAATTACATATAATTTGTTTTGTAAATTCTTTGTATTTAGTTGCAAAATAAGAGCGCTCTTTGCTTTAGAAGCTTCGTTTTAAGCTTAGTAGATTTGTTTTGTAGTAACATTTTGTTACGCTATTTAGTATGTATTTAATATTTAAACTTTAGCGTTTATCACTGATATTATTATTTTTGTAACACTTTGTTACGCAACAAAATCAAACAAATATTGTAATTAATTCTTGTATTTATGAACAAATACCTTTTGTAATGCATTAAAATCGGGACTCAAAAGTTTATAAAACTTAAAATGTTGCATGCGTTTTTGCTTATGTTTTTTTTATATATTTATTAGATATATAAATATATATGTGTGTTTTATTTTTCTTGTGGAAGGCAGTTGTTGCTCTTCGAACCATTCCAATATCAAAGCTCAAGTTCAGTTTTTAGTGGAGCACACTTGCGTTTTATATTTTATAATATATATTTATCCAATATTTCGTCCAAAAATTCTTTACAAATTTCTTAGAACTTACAGTTAAATGTATAGTAGAAATTATTCAAAAAATTCTTAATTTCATCATTTCATGGATGATTTTTGTTTTATATCATGATCATCAATATGACAATGGTATGTATGCGTGTGTGTGTGAGTGTGTATTTGTATGTGTATGTGTGTGATATCTTATAAATGCGTGTTGATGGATTATTAGACGAAGTTATGTGTGAACGACGAGACGTGTGCCGAGATTGCAAAAATGCCAGCATCAAAATTCAGTTGCACCAACACTTGAAAACCGGTTTCCTCGACTATTGGTGGGCGATGGGTGTAGCTGGAGGTGGAGGTGGAGTTGGTGTTGGTGGTGACCGATGTGTGTGTGTTAGTGTGTGTCATATATTCTGTATTTTCGTGCTCTTGAATATATGCTCATGTAATCTTGGATTAGGGATATGAAATTCGTACAAAAATGATTAAAATATGTAAATGTTAAAAATGTATTTTGCTTTTTTTTGCTCTCTTGTTTATCATTTAATTGTTGGTTTTACGTTGCGTTGTTTTCTTATTTGCTTTTATCATTTTTTTCTTGTTTTTGTTTTTTTTTTTTATTTTTTGTTGTTTTTTTAATAATATGTAATATATATAATAATTATTAGTATTATTCGCATGTCACGGGCAGGTCCTGTGTTGTAACATCTGCCGCGGCATTCTTCTCCTTTAGATCCTTGGCGATATCCTAAAAGAACATGCGAAAGAAATTATATTAACATTTATTGTTATTTAAAATCACATTTAATCATATCAAATTAAAGGAGCATGAACACAGAGCGAAAGGAAAAGCAACTTAAAGCACAACAACAACAATTAAAAGATAAAATGGCAATGACCTATGCCGACGTTACAATTAAACAACGAAAATAATGATACCAAAACTTATGAATGGGAATTAAAATCAATTTAAACGGCAGTTTCTCTGTTTTTTAATAAAGTACTGTTGTAAAGTCTGCGTTAAGATGCGTTACTGCGGCCGAACAGAGTTGTTAGATCGGGGAACTGGAGTAAGGTGTGTGTGCGTGTGCATGTGTGTGCGTGTATGTGCGTTTGTGTGCATGTTTGTGTATGTGGAGCTTAAGGATTAGGATGGGTAGGAGGTAATAAGGCGTCAGTTTGCGTTTGTGTTTTGTTAATATTAAAGTACTTGGATAATCAACGAGCACAATTACATTACAATTAAAACTTGCGCGCAGTTTGTTTTAGTAACATTCCATTTCACATTTCATTCACATTCACATCGTAAGATCATGCAGTTAGTTACCAGCAAGAGCGACCTCAAGAGGACCACCTATTAACATAACCATTAACTTAACAGACAACTGCAGAACGGACTGCTGCAGTTTTACAGGAGAAACCATTTACAATAACATTTACAAATAACAGAGCTAACTGCTTGGCTGGGCAAGCGCGCAAAACAACAAAAGAGCTGATGCAATTCGAGAAGCACAGAAAGAGCAGAGAGCAGTGAGCGGGGAAAACAGTGATAGAGGGGAGCCCAACGCAGGATATGATACCGGAATTAATTTTATGATGCATCTGATTGCTGCGGTGAGCGACGACTGTTAAGACTCAATACGAATATGTCAATGGGGAAGTGTGGTGAGGTAGAGTTGAGTTTTGATTGAGTTCGGTTTTTATTCACCTCAAGATGAGCAGCATCTTTAATGTCCACCACAAATGCATCCAGCTTTGTTAGGCTGCTGCTGTTATCGCTGCTGATCATTTTATCGTTATCGTTATCGTCATCGCTATCTCTTTGCATATCCTCCAGCTCCGGCACATTTTCAAATGTCACCTTGCTATCGTTCCCCCGCAAGCTGAAGTCATCTGCAACAGCGATGATTTTCTCGCTAATATCATCCGGCTGTTCCCCTTCCTTGATGCCATCCTCAGCCACATCATCATTCACTTTGTCATCGCATATTATCTCTGGCTGTTCCACCAGCTCTTCATCCTTGCTAACCTGCTCTGTTTTTTTCAGTTGCTCCTCCTCCTCAATGTCATCGTTATCGTCGGCATCAACATCGGTAACAATCTTTACGGCAGAACTCATTAGCTCTTCACTGATGTTCTCTAAAGTTACGTCCTCGATCATCAGTGGCTTCTGCTTGTCCTGTTCCGTTACAATATCTGCCGCCTGCTCGGTTATTTCCTCAACAAATGCATGCGCCTGGTGCTCAATATCGGCCAACAGTGGACCATCCTCCGCTGTGGGTGCTGGTGTATCAATGTCCTCTTGCTTTGCCTCCTCGTTCACGAAGCTGTCATCGTCGTTGTCGGGCGTTTCATCGTCTGTGGTCAATGCAAATGCCGAAACACGGGAGGGCGGCGGAGACTTGGGCAGTGGTGGTGGCTGACTGAACTCAACTGTAACCACATTAGCCTCGGCGCTATCAGCAACAGAAACTAAAACATCAGCATCGGGATTGGGCTCTGGGACGAATTTTGGAGCGTCGGATTCAAGTTCTAGATTGGGCAGCACAGGGGAAACACAAACCACAGCCGTTTCTTGTTCGGGCTCAGCTTGAAGTTCAGCCTGGGCCAGGTCGGTTTCAGCGGGAGGTGCAATAAAAACAAAACCCTCGGAATCGGAAGGCTCACTAACAGCCGCTATAATAGCAGCAACCACTTGTTCTTCCTCGGCGGCGTCGGCGGCTTGCACTTCGTCCTGCGCTTGGGAAGTGGGAAGATAAACGGAATTGTCGGTGGTGTTGGTGGTGATGTTAGGTATTGTGTTATTTTGGGTGTTGGTTGGTTGGGTCTGAACTAACTCTGCGGCGGCAATGGTCTCTGTCTCAGTGATTGTGATTGTGGAGTTGTTCTCAGTGCCTGTGGTTGTTGTTCTTGTTGTTGTTGTTGTTGTGATACTCGTATTTACAGTGTTGTTTGTGGTGTCTAGTTGTTGTTGTTTTACCTCGATTTGCGACTTGTTCTTAATTTGATCGGCCTCGGACTCGGTCTCGGCGACAGGTGTTGGCGGTGGCGTGGCAGTGTCATTGTTCTCACCAACTCCATTTGTGCCGTTCTGATGATGCGGCTCCTCGCCAGCACTGTTGACGGGTGCTGCCTCCGGCTCGGTCGGGGATTCAGCCAACCCGTTCTTGTCGCCATTGGTCAACACTAGCTCGACTACGCCATGACCATTGGTAACAGCTTCGGTGGTATCGTTGCTACTGACGGGCTCCGGAACAGCGCTCTGCTCGACAGCCTCAACCTTCGACTCGGTGGTGGGTGTAGTTTCCGACTTAACCGCCTCCTCGCTTACTGTTGGCGCGGATGTCTTGTCATCTCCGTTCGCCTGTGGCTCCTGCGGCTGCTTTTCCTGTTCGCTGGCTGCACCATTTTCGGTGGGTTTCGGTTCAACCTTGGTCGCCGCATCTGCAGGTGCTGCGTCCGCGCTTTGCTGTAAAAACAAAATATATTCGTTACTTGCAGGTATGCAAATAATCGCTGGATTTTCGGGTTTACCTCTTCTTTGTCTGCGGCAGCTGCTGCTGCTGGTGCTCCCTCTGCTTCTGCTGGTCGCTGCTCCGCCTCGCCATTCGTTGGCGCGGACTCGGAGCTGGCTGCCGCTACTGCAGTTGGGGATGCAGGCTCCTCTGTCTTGGCTGGCTTCTGTTTGTCCTTTTTGCCAAACGATATGCTTCGGAATGACCATTTCTTTTTCACCTTATCCTTCTTGGACTTGGACTTGATGCTCTCATCAGCCAGAGGTGAGATTTCCTCGGCGCCACTGCCCTCTTTCGGCGAGCCAGAGGCTGCGACTGCCTCATCTTTTGCAGATTCAGCAGACGCATCACCGGAGGCGCCATCAGATTTCGGTGCCGAATCTGCAGTTTTTTTCTCGGTGGTTAAATCTTTGTCGTTCTCAGAGTTCTCTTCGGTCTCCTTTTTCTACAATTGCAGCAAATTAAAATTCGTTTAGACAGGGGCTCCGGATTCTGTCCGACTATGCCTTACCTCTGCAGCGCCCGCTGCGCCCGCTGCATCCTCGCTGCCGGGACTCTTTTCCTTTGTCGTTGCCGCATCGCCATTTAATGCGGGCGGCGCCGACGCCTGATCGACATCTTCAATTTTCTCGACTTTGCCAGCGACTTCGTCGCCCTCGCCAACCTTTTTCGGATCGGTGGTGATATCAATTGAACGCTTGCTCTGAGCTTTACCCATTTTTGCTGGTCCTCTTTAATCGCTAATTGGTTATATGTCTGTTCTGTAAATACGGGTGGGGTGTGCAACGAGAATTTAGAAAATAACATCAAATTAGTTGCCTTCTTCTATTTTATATATATATAATATATTTTTTTTTGTTTATTTTTTTTTGTTCAACGTCTTCTGTTGTTATTTATGTATTTAAGTAATTATATAGATATGTATATATTTAATTGTATTTCTTTAGGCGTATGTATTTTTTGGTAGCTCTTCGCAAGTGTCGAGTGTCGAGTATCGAGAAATGGCAGCGCACACTTTAAATTGAACTTGCCATTTTATTTATACATTTGACATTTTAATGCACGCCAACTTCTGCTGCAGGCAGCCAACGACAACGGCTAGAAATATGCGTCTGATCTGATAAGCCACGATATAAAAACAAAGAAAAATAAACAGTTTGAGTGTCTGCTCTTTTTTTTTTTTGTGTGTACCTTGCCTTATCAGAACAGCGAAAAGACGCAATACGCACGTTTCCGAAAACAGTGAAAAATTCATGGAAAATAACGGGGTTTATCCAGGGAATATAATGAACTGTGACATTTCACAGAGAAAGCTGTAGACCATTGCGATCCGGTGCAAAACGAACAATTCTTTATATACTCTTTTAACTCAACAAATCATTTTGCATAATCATCGATTGAATGTTTAATAATTTAGTACTTGTGTTTCGGAATAATTTAAAGAAATATTCTTGTAAAATTGGGTGTGTATAAACACAGAGTTTCTGACCGAAAAATAATTTAACTTTTTAAAAACGCAGATTTGGACTTCCAGAGCTATGGCAAGTATTCACAGTATGTATTCATGTATCACAGTTATTTGTCGCTCAAAACTGTTCAGCTAGACGTAGGTACAAAAAGACAAAACAACAACAACAACAACAAAAAGCATTAAAGACAAATGAATAATGCTAAAGAAGACAGCAATCGAAAAAATGTTTTGCCCGGCAAATGAATCATCCAATCCAGGAAATATTTATGAAGCAACACATGACGACGACGACGACAGAGGCTGACACATACAGGGCAAAAGAGAGGCAGAGCGCAAGAGAGAGAGAGCGAGAGAGAGAGTGAAAGCGGGCGCGGCATAAACCCCCTTTTTTGCTGTTCTTGATACTGGCGTAGTACTATGCGTCACTTTGGAAATCGAATTACACGCCTCGACTGGGTAAATGAAACAGAAACCCAGCCACACAAAATTTAAACGAAGCGAGAGGCGGGCGAAAGTCCAAAGTCGTCCGGCTGAACGCCGGGCGAGGGGATATATTCAAGCACAAATATTAAAAAGTGAAGTTTCTTCGTTTTTAGGGGTTGTACAAAAAACAAAACCCGTGCGTACATGTCGCATGTAGGAGCGGCGCTGCCGGGAACCTAGGCTCGAAGCTGTCTTTGTTCGCGTTCAAGTTACCTTTGGATGTATTGATTCGCGGTCAGGCCAGAACAGCTGCGGTACCAGCTGCTCCTAGAGTTCCTGCCGATAAAAATATCATTAAGATACTTTTTATTTAAGCGAATAAGCAAAGTACAAATTCAATATTATGGACAAAACGAATACCATAAGTTAAGATCAATACGAATTGAAACTATTCAATTTGTTACTAACTTTATTGAATACTTTTGGTTTGATTTACGTACAGTTCATTGCATCGGGGTATTGACTGTATTGACTGTGAATTGTGCTTTTGAATAAAAACAAACGAAACCGAAACGAAACGAAACATTTTAGAAGTAATCATCACATTTCATCGAATCGTTCAATGAACCCAATTAAATTCACTGAACACCTCGAAGACGAGCGAACGCCACCTTTGCTTCAAATGTTTTGGATCCACCTGAAGATTAATATAAGTGAATCTGAAGCAAATTTGACGCTAGGCAAAAAACAAAACAACAACAAGTTGAGGCAGCAATTAATTTGATCGTATAATTTCAAATTAAATATCCGAGCGGTTCGAACAGAATACATGCAAAAATGTTGATGAGTAATCGCAAGAATATGCCGACACATACACGCACACACAAACACACACGCAAGTAAACACAGGTGTAGCCGTAACTCAACCCTTACCAAAATAGACTGCACAATAACCAACTGTGCGCGTACTAAGCCAAAGCTGGCAACAACAATATAATAAAAGCGCAAGTAAAATTGCGGCATGACGCATCAGCAGCAGCAAGTCGAAAAGGACAAGGGAACAAGGATAAAACGAGCTTGTGCGCAGAGGGTTGCCGGCCGGCGTTTCAATTCTACTACCACTACTACTGCTGCACACTTAGCCATCAAATACTACTACACTTACGCAACGTACAGCAACAACGTCGACGGTCATTGCCCGTCGTTGCCATGGCAACGGCTCGGGGCTCGGCGAAGCTAACGCTGACGCTCGCGTCGACGCTACGTCACAACAGCCCAGCGGCAAATGGGGGGCGTGTGAAAGTACTTGGGCGGCGGCGCCGCAGCCCACATAAAACAACAGGCACCAAAAATGTGACAGCGTTGCCAGACTGACGGCGCACGTCATGACATGCAGAAAATGCGAGGCTAAGCGCTTACAAGATTAGCATAGCAAGAGTCAGATATATGTACATACGTAACTAGTGATTGACAGCCTAAAATTGGTTGTTCCATTAAAATTACCCAATTGCGGCTGCGTCCGCATTATTAAGAAGCTGTGTGCCAGACATTTCGTGTAAATTTCTTTTTTAGTTAATTTTATTTAAACTTGACCTTTTACTTGTCGAACTCACATGCAATAATAGAAATGCCGCTGGCCTCTCACACCTCCTACTTTTAAGTCGCGCCTTTGTGTTGTATTCAGTAAAAGAAAATGTATAAACGAAGGGACAAAGGAAAGCAGAGAGCACACACACACAAACACATACAGAGAGACACAACGCAAGGCAAGCTCGGGAACAGAGTGCTGTCGTCTATAAATAAAAGCGCATTTATCAACAATGAAGCATGTTTGAAATGCAACAACAGCTACACAAAGAGCCATGTATATATGTATACATGTATACATACACATACGTTTCTTTTGTGTGTGTGTGGATGTGTTCAATTGTCTGCTCTCTATCAATTTTGACACTTTAAGCTGTTGTATTGCTGCTGCGGCTGCGCTTTCAATTTGACGCCTGCTACCCCACGCCTCCCCTCCATCAGCTCCTGCTCCACGCCTGGCACCGCTACTAGAAGATCGCAGCCATCGCATGAGACCAGACCAAACGTAAATTAAATTGATTGTGCAGGAATGCGTACGCTAGTGTCGGGGACCGGCCAACTGGACAAACATTAATTTCAAGTCATGCCATATACAAGCTCAGATAAATATGTCTGCATGTATGAGCATACAATCCAGATTCAAGTTGGTTGCATTGTCGGGCATTTATAACATTTATAGCGCTGAGAGCTTGGTAAGTGCGCGCGCACTTAAAACCGCAAGGCAGACGTAATTGAACTTTTATAAGCTAATCAAACGAACGCCCACATTCTCAGGCATACTTTAAGCCACCCTCCCTTTTCGTGCCTCTACACACACACACACAATCGTGCACATACTTGCATAGGACTGCATCATCTCGGCTCTTTCCTTCCAATTTCATCAATCAGCCGCCAGCCGGCGACAGTCGCATGTGCAAATACACACATACAAACGTATGTACATATGTATAAGTATTGTAATAAGAAAAGGAGCGAAGTGCAAGTAGACTCAACAATTAAATAGAAACGCAGATACGCACACACACTGTAACATATGTTCACAGACACAAATGCAAGCATTGCATATTTGTTACTTGGCTATTTGAGACACATCCATTTGTATTGCTCCTACTGATAAGCCACGCCTAAATATAGCTCAAAACAAAATAACAAATCGAAGACATATGTATGTGTACATACACCAATAAACGTATATACCTAAATATATATAGAAAATGCACTTAAATACAATAAATGCACATAACACACAAATTGTCAAGAGGAAATATATGTAGCAATAACAACAAAAACATATTTGTGGCCCACGCAGCAAAAGGCGTCAGCAGTCCAGAAATTGAGGGGGAAGCGCACTGTGAAAAATTTGTGCGAAAAGCAGACAACGGCAACGGCAACAAGAAAACGAAGAGGAAGAACAAGAACAATAACAGTCGCTTCAAATGAGCGCGTCTCGGAGAATGTCTCAAATAACCGGATATAATTGGTTAGCGCAGTGTTGGTGTTGTTGTTGTTGTTGTTTCGGTAGTTGTAGTTTTCGTATGCGCTGCGACAATATGAAAAGGATACATAAAATAAGTGCCATAATTAGTTACAAACTGAAAATTCATATACCACATACAAGCCGCAATACAATACAAATGACAAAACGAAGAAAACATTTTTCAATTATCATTTCCGGTCAGCTTTTGACGGACGATGATCCGGCATTGTGGTGAAGTATGTATATCTGAGCGAAGCGGACTGAATTCTTCACAATTATTGATATGTATTGTATTGTACTCAACGAGCATAGCCCAAATATAAACATATACACATATGCATATGCATTGCCATAACGGTAGTCTTAGATACTTTGCTATCTAAGAGAACCCCCCCAACGAATGATAAAACGAAATATATATAAATACATTTATAAAAAGAAAGTACAGTAATAGAGAGGAAGTGTCTCTAGAAGGCAATAATAACAACAACAAACCAACCCAAGGCAAGCAGCGCACACTCAATTGATAAACGAATAAAAACTGAGGCACAAAGAAACTCCCTATCAATTGCATTGCATGTGGTAATTGTGTGTGATTCACAGTCGGCGCCCAACAATAGAAATGACGGTTTAACTTCTTAACATTCTTCACTGGAATCCAATCTAGTATATAACACAGAGTGGGAGCTACGTGATCCCATATACAAAATCCACATATACTAAAACAAACACATTTTTTACGTACATTTATGTAAATACATAACTGCGTTTCAGCCCAGATATCTGCTACTTACTGACAGTAG